TTGAACTGGTCAAAAAAGTTCTTTTTACTCAAAAAGGATAATTTCACTATACTTTTACGTTCTGATTTTAATGAAAAAAAATTTCGACGTCAAAATGAGCAGTTTTAGGTTAATTGCTGTCAAGCTATCGACTGTTTTTGATTTTAATTGTTCGACTTGTAAGGCTGTTGTTGACATCTAAATTGGAATCTGAAGTATTCTTTTAAAAAGTAGGCCTGAATTTCAAAACAAATTAACATTCATGCTAAAATTTTTTAACAATAAACGGGAAAGAATTTATTTTCAATTAGCCAAGACTTTCATCGCATTTTTCTCATAAAAAGGAAAGAATGCGTTTTGAAACGCGTTTACTTAAATTTAAGCGTTTCATAACAAATTTTATTGGGACTGGCTTCTGTGTTAAAAAATAAACATATAGTACCGCCCTATTCTTTTATGTACACCAGAAAAACACATCCAACTTATTTTTCAAGACCAGTACCTTTCAAGTAGAACATACAAAACCAAATATCAATTCCATTCATAATCAACCAGCAAGAACATCACCCTTCAAAACATGATATCTTCTTGGTTATATGGTTAAGGCCAATTTGCTGGCAACATCGATGAGCTCAAGCTTCTGAACTGGTCAAAAAAGTTCTTTTTACTTAAAAAGGATAACTTCACTATACTTTTACGTTCTGATTTTAGTGAAAAAAAATTTCCGCCGTCAAAATGAGCAGTTTTAGGTTGATATTACAGTTGATATTGGCATTTAAGGAAACGGTTGATATTACAACTTGAGTATCACTGAAAATTGTCTGCTTTTAATTTATAGCATGCTTGGTGTTAACCATGAGTTATGGTTTATTTTATTTGGCTTTGAAAATTCCCATTATGTAATAACACTTAACCATAACTAACTCAAACTGTTTGCTAACCAAGGACTTAAAAACTAACGGATCATTACTCTCATACTATCGGCTGTTTTTTGTTTTTGTGTTCGACTTGAAAGGATATTATCGACATTTATATTGGATAAGTTTATTTTCCAAGTATTCTTTTTAAATTAGACCAGTAATTGGAAAAACTACATAACATTCTTGCCACAATCTTTTGACAACAAAAAGCGAGGAAACTTTACCTTCGAATAGCCAAGATTTTAATCGCATTTGTCTCCTACTAAAAAAATTGGGTAATGCGTTTTGAAACGAGTTTACTTAATTAAAAGCGTTTCATAACAAATTTTATTGGGACAGGCTTCTGTGTTAAAACAAAAACATAAAATTACCACCCTATTCTTTAAAGTACATCAAAAAAAACATATCAAACATGTTTTTCAAGACTAGTACCTTTCAAGTAGAATATACAAAACCAAATATCAATTCCATTCATAATCAACCAGCAAGAACATCACCCTTCAAAACATGATATCTTTTTGATTTTACAGCTAATGACAAACTGCTGGCAAAATCGGCAAGCTCAAGCTTTTGAACTGGTCAAAAAAGTTCTTTTTACTCAAAAAGGATAACTTCACTATTTTTTTACGTTCTGATTTTAGTGAAAAAAAGCCGCCTTCAAAATGAGCAGTTTTAGGTTGATATTACAGTTGATATTGGCATTTAAGGAAACGGTTGATATTACAATTTGAGTATCACTGAAAATTGTCTGCTTTTAATTTATAGCATGCTTGGTGTTAACCATGAGTTATGGTTTATTTTATTTGGCTTTGAAAATTCCCATTATGTAATAACACTTAACCATAACTAACTCAAACTGTTTGCTAACCAAGGACTTAAAAATTTAACAGCTTATTGCTGTCAAGCTATCGACTAGTTTTGATTTTATTTGTTCGACTTGTAAGGCTGTTGTTGACATCTAAATTGGACTCGTGTTGGAATTAATCCTGTTATTTTTCAGTTAATTTGTAAACTCGAGTGATTGTGGGTCCAAGTAGTTTTTTATTCGAGTTAACTCTTGGTTTTTTTCGCCTGATAAGGTTTCTTAAGGCCTCACATTGTTTCATTTGACGAAAAAATAAAATATGTGCTAGTGTTTTGAGGGATTGTGGGTCCTAGTAGTTTTTATTCAAAACACTAACACAAACTTTACTTTCCCGTCAAATGAAACAATATGAGTCCTTTAGGCCGATATAATATCTGTTGAAAATGAAGAAGCCGAAAAAAGTGAACATTTTAAAAAGTCGAAAAAAAACCAAAACTATCAGGTTTATTAAAAATTCCCTCTCACCCTCACTAACACCACCCGCACATGCAAGCATTTTTCGCTCCGCGAAAGACAACATATGAGATCATTAAGCCGATTCAATTTAGGCCTAAACCTATCAAGCCGGATGAGAAGGGCATAAAAATACAAAGCCAAAAAAATGTTGTCATGATAAACTTTTAATTCTTTTAAAACCCATAATTTTTTTGCATTTTGGGTTCACCAGAGGCCCGCATGAAAATTTTGTTTCCCTTGAAACTATACAAACATAGGTCACTAAGCCGATAAAGTATAAGCCGAAATCATTTGGGCAGAATAAATGGTTGAGCGACAAAAAATCAAAAAACCAAGAAAGTCAGGGCTAGTAAACTTACAAATAGCCAAAAAATCAAAACACTTAACATAAGCAGACATATAATAAGTCGACAATTTTCTTTGGAACAGAAAATTTTCCGTTTAAAAACAAAACAGGTGAACCCAAGACTTTTGCAGTCCCAGGCGTATTCGCGTCCTCCAGACCAAGTGTGCCAGACGCAAAGAAAGTTGAATTCATTATGAACTGTTTCTAAATTTACCATTTACAATTTTGAATATTCTCTGAACAAGGTTATTTCGGGAAAAAGTCTAGTACCCGATTACAGTACCCTTGCTTATCGCAAATATAATATTTCTCAAAAGCGAGTAGGGCTTTTGGATGGCCTCAAGCCAGATATTTGTGTTTCCAAGCATATGCCTTGCCTCTAAGCTATAGACATAAGTAGTAGCATGAGCTTGATATGCTAATTAAGTAAATTAACGATTTCTGTGACTTTTATGGAAAAAATTCCAGTTCCCGGTTGCCAAACCTTTGCCAATGGCAGGGGTAATATTATGATGGACATTTTTTTCAAATTGATAATTGAGTTTTTGTAAACTCATTTTTTTCTCTTGATATTTTATTTGTGTTCGACTTGAAAGGATGTTGTTGACATTTATATTGGATGAGTTTCTTTTCAAAGTATTTTTTTTTTGAAAAAAAGGGCAGCAATTTCAAGAAAAAACACTAAACATTCATGCCACAATTTTCTGAAAACACTAGGCGGGAAAAAATACCTCCAAATAGCCAAGACTTTCATCGCACTTTTCTCCTTAAAAGGTAAAAGATAAAAGCGTTTTATATCAAAATTTTAAAAACATAACATCGTTTCATAAAAGATTCTGTTAAAAATCAACCTGTAAGAAAAAAACCTTTCAATAAATGAGATCTTATTTTATCTGATTTTATAGTTAATGCCAAATTGCTGGCATTATCGTTGAGCTCAAGCTTCTCAACTGGTCAAAAACAGCCCTGTTTATGTGAATAGGATATGTTTTCACTATACTTCTACGTTCTGTATTTAATGGAAAATGATTTCCGACGTAAAATTGAGCAGTTTTAGGTTATTTACATCACTCTAAATCAACGGATAAGGATGTTTTGCTTTTTTCCAGCAATTTTTCGTTATTCTGCAATGCGAGATCATTCCGGCATCATTTTCTCATGCAACGCTGGCTATTCCAGCTCAGGATGGAAACCTGTTTCTCTCTTATTTGAGAAAGAATCTGGTCATTTTATTTTGCTTTTAAAGCCAGCTATATTTATTTATATATTTTTCGATAAAAACATTAATGGTTCAGTAACATTAATTTGATAAGATTCTCATATTTGACTTCACGTTTTCGCAATCATTCGTCGAACTTTATTTTACTAAACGCCTGAAAAACATTACTAAAGGCCGAGTGAAAGTTTTGCAGCGACTCAAACCTTTTTGCATGGGACTTCAAACCACGAGTTCTTGAATACCATGAAACACTTAAATGTTCGACCGAAACAAACGAAGGCGAAACAACAAACGGATATCCCTGGCGAAGTGCAGCAATTCTTAATAGCTATTATGTATTTGATAATATAGAGAAGACAATATCTCATTAACTCCTTTTGAGTAAACGCTAACTACGTATTCTCGTAGATTTTTTCACTCAAAACTTTTTCAACTCAGATTATTTTGGCAGACTTCCAACGATCCCAATAATCATCCGTCTTCCAGAAAGAATTTATCAGCTTCCAAATGATCGATTCTTGAATAAATTTCTGCAATAGTCCATTCTTCTGTACTTTTTTCTTCTTCGACTGATCTCTTTTTGGTCACCCGGTCACCATGTACGATGTCGTCGATCACTAACCTATTCGGAACCTGATCAGGTTATTAATACTCGACCGAGCTTCATGAGCAGCAGATTGCAACTCCCCGTTCTCCAATTTTGAGGTTGCACCACATTCAGGTAGCTATTGGAAATGAAAGGGTACCTAGCAACAGATGAAGTATACATTTAACAAGTTCTTTTTTTGAACATTTTTACAACAAGTCTTCCTTTTTGTCAGATTCCGATTATGAGCCTCGAACTGTTCTAACGAGGTCGTATGTTCCTGACCAAATACTTCTAAGTTTTACGAAAAAATCTTACCTGCGTGTTGCCTCTTTTTCAATGATTCAGCTCCAGTTGACGTTCGAAGCTGAGACAACAGATTCAAACAGAAGTTTAGATCCATTATCATCGGCCGAACGCAACTGTACTAGACATCAATAGTTCACTCGACATCATTTCAAATTCATTTGTTAGCCTAATTATTTGTACTAGCTATTTTTCAAAATTAATCTCTCAAATTTAAAAGAGCCATTTTTCGAATGAAACTCATCTCTCACTTTCCGAAGAAGATTAATCTAATGAGCTTAATTTATGTTTTGTGAGTACCAAAAAAATACTTTGTTACTTACATTAGCCGCGCCTGTTGCCGCATGTTTTCCCAGCACACGTCACGTTGTCATAAGTACCTAAGCAAAAAAAATAGAAATGATTCCAACAATCGATATTTCCAGAACGTAATTTAAAACACAGAGGGGAAGAGGATATTCGCATCCTTTGCATTGGATGGATTGCAAGTTAGCGAAAAAAATAAGACGGAAAACACTAAGTCGCAAAAACATATTTGAAACAAAAAAAATCTGAAAAAGAAAAAACCATTTACAGAAAAACTGCCGAGAAACACAACCACCATCATTGAGCAAGTTTTTCACAAGTGAATACTATCATTTAATGACTACCGCTATCACTTAACGAGCGGCCACTAAGCCGACATGAGTTGGGTAGACGTCTGAGCTGAAAACAAAATGCCATGTAAAATTATTGCCATAAAAAATTTCGAGCGACAAAGTTTTACAACTTGAAACTTTGGACCACAACGGTCCTAATCTACAGTAAAAATAAACTCCATTTTGCCTTCAAATTATACAAAATGAGCTGATAAACATAAGCCGAAACTTAAAACTTTAAAAATAATTAATTTAAAAAACAATCAAAATACGAATTGATAAACTGACAAAATAACAGGACGATTCTCAATCATAGTACGAATTGTTTCCATAAAAAATCCCACGCTTTGGAAATCAAGCCAATAAAAAGTAATCAGACAACAACGTCCGACAATTCAGCTTTTCGCGGAATTTTACTTTTAAATTTTTATTTTTATTTGAATTTTAAACGTGCGAAGGAACCTGGAATTTGGAACAACTCAATAATAATGCAAGTTCATTTTCTTACAGATTTATAGATAAACTTGTTAACGGAAAAAAGTCTAGTTGCTGATTGCAAGACACTTGCTCTCGCAAGTGTAATCAAAACGTTCCTAACTTTGAAAAAACGATTTTTCTGCATGCTTCATTTTTTATAGTTCTATGGTCGGAACAATCTTCCCTATTTGCTCAGCAAATGGATGTTTTGTTTGCGAAATTCCATTTTTAACGTCTTCATACAAGAATGCAAGAAAAGCTTCCGTATGGATATTCAAGCAATTGTTTGAATATTCATACGGAACCTTTTCTTGCATTCTTGTAGTAAGACATTAAAAATGGAATTTCGCAAACAAAAACATCCATTTGCTGAGCAAATAGGGAAGATTGTTCCGACCATAGAACTATAAAAAATGAAGCATGCAGAAAAATCGTTTTTTCAAAGTTAGGAACGTTTTTCCGCAAAAAAAGACCAACCTTCGAGCTCTTCAGCTCCTTGCGGATGACCGTTGTGCCCAGCTTTTCGATTTAACTCAAACATGAAAAAACTTTTTAAATTTTTCATTACATTTTCGAATGAAAGGGTTTCAACTCGATATATCACTTGACCTCATCTCACTAATACAAGGTACTTTATCTAGCAACGGAAAAATGCACGCGAACCCAAAGTTTCTCTTCACCTCAAGTGATCTGTACAGAAAAGATACGGAAAAAAGGTATACTACTACCACTAACTATTTTCTTTAATAATGACGACTTCTTTAGATGATTTCTATACGTCATCCGCATCGTGTTTCGTACAGTTCACTGCTGTGTCATCAGTAAGTCGACTGTCAGGAAGACAACCAAATAATCATCTTTTTCTGAAAAAGAAATGATTGAAGCTAGAGATAGCTTAACTGTTGAAATATTGCAATTAGATCAATTACCACTGGCAACCAGCAATGCCAATGAGATCTGTCAGTAGGAGAGTTCTATTACCAGACATTACTTCAGTACTTCAGGTAACCAAAACATTTCACGAAATATAGCTGGAAATTCTCAAACATCTAAAATTTTGAAAAGAAAACCAACAACACTGCCAGTTCCGACTGTGTTTTAATTTCTATGGAGTTTTTCTTGCCCATTTTTCATCCAAAAACTAGAATTTCATTTTGACTTGTGTTGGAATAAATCATGTTAAATTTCAGTTTATTTTGTGATAGTATTTCTTTTATTGGGATAATGTATTTACAACGTGATTTAAGGATTCTATATATCGCAAGCAACTAAAAGATCACTCACATCGAATACTTGAGGCGTTGACACAAAGAAAAATCTTCTTATTGTTGACGAAAACGCACTAATCAAATCACAGCTCATTTCAATTGAATTGGACGGATAGATAATCTTGTCGGTGTTTCATCACAAAACGTGATTTTCATTTGATCTCGGGTTAAAATTAATCCTGTTATTTTTCACTTAGTTTGTGAGAGTATTTCTCTTATTGGGAAAATGTATTTACAACGTGATTTAAGGATTCTATACATCGCAAGCAACTAGAAGATCACTCAAATCAATTACTTGGGGCATTGAATCACAGCTCATTTCAATTGGACGGATAATCTTGTCGGTGTTTCATACCAAAACGTGACTTTGATTTGATCTCGGTTTAGAACTAATCTTGTTATTTTTCAATTAGTTTGTGAAAGTATTTCTCTTATTGGGATAATGTATTTACAACGCAATTTAAGGATCCCATATATCGCAAGCAACTAGAAGATCACTAAAAGCAATTACTTGGGGCATTGAAAAAAATTCACTTTTTTCATTCCTCACGAAAACGCACTAATCAAATCACAGCTCATTTCAATTGAACTAGCAATTAACGCACCTTCGGTGCTTCGAAATTTTTCGACAACTCATGAAAAAAACCGCATATATTGGAAACAACATCTACAAACTTTTAGTGTACTCTGACTGCACCTAATTACAGGTTTGGTAATTTCGAACTTATAAAATTTTTTTAAATTCCCATTTTAAAAGCGTCATCTCGAAAACTTATTGGGCCTCTGGAGAAATTTGGAAGCCAGATTTGCAACCACTGAGACTCCCTGAGAGCACCCTACAATAGGGTTAGGAATCCAAAATTTTGTGAACTTTTTTAAACCTAAGATTACCGAAAAAAAAATTTAAAAAAAAACGTCTTATCTCGGAAACTAAAAGGATTTGAGCATTCATATTAAGAGGCAAGATTTGAGACGCCTGGGTGTACGCTGACAATAAGGTTGTATCTTCATCATGTTAGTAGTTTCAAATTTCTTGAATTTCTTTGTAGATAAATCTTTGAGAAATTTTTTAAAAAAATCGAAAAACGTCACATCTCGGAAACTAAAAGCATTTGAGCAGTCGCGTTTAGCAGTCGCATGTGGCAAGATTTGCAACTCTTTAGAGTACCCTGACAACACCGAACTATAGAGTTAGGAATTTCAAATTTTGAAAAATAATTAGCTTTCTGAAAATTTTGAAAAAATCACAAAAAAACGTCACATCTCGAAAACTACAAACAATTGAGCAGTGATATTTGGAGACAAGATTCGCAATCCTTGAGAGTACTTTGACAGGACCTAGCAACTGGGTTGGGAATTTCAGATTTTTAAAGAATAGAAATAATTCAAGTTTTCTGAAAAATTTTGAAAAAATCGCAAAAAACGTCATATCTCGAAAACTACAAAGAATTGAGGAGTCATACTTGGAGGCAAGATTCGCAATCTTTGAGAGTACTCCGACAGGACCTAACTACAGGGTTGGGTATTTCAGATTTTTAAAAACTAATAATAATTTAAGTTTTCTGAAAAATTTTGAAAAAATCACAACAAACATCATATCTCGAAAACTACAAGGATTTGAACAGTCATATTTGGAGGCAAGATTTGTAACTCCTTAGAGTACTCCGACAGGACCTAACTACAGGGTTGAGAATTTCAGATGTTTAAAAACTTATAAAAATTTATGTTTATTAGAAAAATTTAGAAAAAATCACAAAATACGTCATATCTCAAAAACTACAAGGATTTGAACAGTCATATTTGGAGGCAAGATTTGTAACTCCTTAGAGTACTCCGACAGCACCCAACTACAGGGTTGGGAACTTCAAGTTTTGTAAATTATTTTGTTATTTGAAATTTCTGAAAAAATCTCAAAAATCGTCTTATCTCGTTAACTAAAATGATTCGGGCATTCAAAATTGGAGGCCAAAATCGCAACCCCTAATTCGATATTGGGCTGCTTAACCAAAGCTCGGTAAAATAACCACTAAAATCAAATTGGAAAATCGAAAAAAAATTCTTAACCATTGCAATATACGATATAGCTTAAACATGCAAAAATAATACGTTGAAAAAGCTTAAACATGGCGAGATAGTGATGCCCGCATTTAAATATATAATAGATTGGAGGGATAATTTTGTCGATGTTTCAGTCCAAAACGTGACTTTCATTTGAACTCGTGTTAGAATTAATCCTGTTATTTTTCAGTTAGTTTGTGAAAGTATTTCTCGTATTGGGAAAAGGTAATTACAACGCAATTTAAGGATCCCATATATCGCAAGCAACTAGAAGATCACTCAAATCGAATGATTTAGGCGTTGAAACGAAAAAAGTTGTTCATTCTCGACAAAAACACTTAATTCGAATCACAGCTCGTTTTAATTGGACGGATAATCTTGTCGGTGTTTCATCACAAATTGTGACTTTCATTTGAACTCGTGTTGGAAATATACCTGTTATTTTTCAGTAAATTTATGATACTATTTCTTTTTTTGGGAAAAAGGATTTACGTCATTTAAGGATTCTACACATCGCAAGCAACTGGAAGATCACTCAAATCGAATACTTGGGGCGTTGAAAAAAAATACACTCTTTTCATTCTTGACGAAAAGGCACTAATCGAATCACAGCTCATTTCAAATGGACGGATAATCTTGTCGGTTCTTCATACCAAAACGTGACTTTCATTAAACTCGTGTTGGAATTGATCCCGTTATTTTTCAGTTTATTTTGTGATAGTATTTCTTTTATTGGGATAATGTATTTACAACGTGATTTAAGGATTCTGTATATCGCAAGCAACTAAAAGATCACTCACATCGAATACTTGCTGCATTGAAAAAAATACACTCTTTTCATTCTTCACGAAAACGCACTAATCAAATCACATCTCATTTCAATTGAATTGGACGGATAATTTTGTCGATGTTTCCTTCCATAATGTGACTTTCATTTGAACTCGTGTTAGAATTAATCCTGTTATTTTTCAGTTAGTTTGTGAAAGTATTTCCTTTTTAGAGGAAAACTTATTAACGTCATTTAAGGATTCTATACATCGCAAGCAACTGGAAGATCACTCAAATCGAAAACTTGGGGCGTTAAAAAATACACTCTTTTCATTCTTGACGAAAAGGCACTAATCGAATCACAGCTCATTTCAAATGGACGTATAATCTTGTCGGTTCTTCATACCAAAACGTGACTTTCATTGAACTCGTGTTGGAATTGATCCCGTTATTTTTCAATTAATTTGTGATTGTATGTCTTTTATTGGGAAATTGTATTTAAAATTTAATTTAAGGATTCTATATATCGCAAGCAAGTAGAAGATCACTCAAACCAAATACTTGAGGCGTTTGAACAAAAAATCATTTCATTCTTGACAAAAATGCCCTAATCGAATCACAGCTCATTTCAATTGTACGGAGAACCTTGCCAGTGTTTCATCCCAAAAAGTGAAATTCATTCAAACTCGTGTTGGAATTAATCTTGTTTTTTTTTTCAATTAATTTGTGATAATATTTCTTTTAAAGAAACAAAAACCTCTTTCCACTCTTGACGAGAACGCACTAATCAAATCACCGCTCATTTTAATTGGACTGATATCTGGTCGGTTTTCAGATCAAAACGTGCCTTTCATTGAACTCGTGATGGAAGTAATCCTGTTATTTTCCATTTAATTTGTAATAAAACTTCCTTTATTGGGAAAATCTAATTACAACGTGAATTAAGGATTCTATACATCCCAAACAATTAGAATATCACTCAAATCAATTATTTGAGGCGTTGAAACAAAAAATTCCTTTCATTCTTGACGAACACCCACTAATCGAATCAAAGCTTATTTCAGTTGGGCGGATAATTTTGTCGGTTTTTCAAGTCAAAACGTAGCTTTCAATTGAACTCGTGTTGAAATTATTCCTGTTATTTTTCAGTTAATTTGTAAAAATATTTCTTTTATTGGGAAAATCTATTTACAACGTGATTTAAGGACTCTATAAATCGCAAGCAACTAGAAGATCACTCAAATCAAATACGTGAGGCGTTGAAACAAAAAATTCTTTTCATTCTTCACGAAAACGCACTAAGCAAATCACAGCTCATTTTAATTGAACTGGACGGATAATTTTGTCGGTGTTTCATTCCAAAACGTGACTTTCATTTGATCTCGGGTTAGAATTAACCCTGTTATTTTTCAGTGAATTTGTGATTGTGTCTTTTATTGGGAAATTGTATTTAAAATTTAATTTAAGGATTCTATAAATCGCAAGCAACTAGAAGATCACTCAAATCAAATACGTGAGGCGTTGAAACAAAAAACTCCTTTCATTCTTGACGAACACCCACTAATCGAATCAAAGGTTATTTCAAATGGACGTATAATCTTGTCGGTTCTTCATACCAAAACGTGACTTTCATTGAACTCGTGTTGGAATTGATCCCGTTATTTTTCAGCTAATTTGTGATTGTATGTCTTTTATTGGGAAATTGTATTTAAAACTTAATTTAGGGATTCTATAAATCGCAGGCAACTAGAAGATCACTCAAATC